AAGTAAGTAAGTAAGTAAGTAAGTAAGTAAGTAAGTAAGTAAGTAAGTAAGTAAGTAAGTAAGTAAGTAAGGTTTTATTTATATAGCGCCTTTCACAAAAGTCCTTATGTGCTGCCTTGACTTTGAAGATTAAAAATTCAATTTATAATAGGCAAAAAGGGAACAAAAAGGAACTTATCACGTTAAGTAAACCAGCAAACCTTGTGTTTCACAAAGTTAGTCAGAGAAATATGATGTTAAATGCTGACTTCAGTTCCCCATTAAAAACTACAGTCAAACTGTGAAAATGCTGTGTAAATACTTGACTTTAAAATGGTGACAAATGGTCATCTGTGATGGAAACTCAAGTGAAATGTGTTTTATACTTGCAGGTGAGATCTTCCTGAAGGTGGAGGAGGAAGACGATCAGGGCTGGTGTCGGGGGGTGCTGACCGGCGGGAAGGAGGGCTTCTACCCGGCCAACTATGTTGAAGTTGCCGAGTGACGTCACACTGTCCAACAGCTGATGTCCTGATTGTCTTTGTCCTCACAAATCTATATTTTTAAACATTATTCTTAAAGCAACAATCTGACATCTAAGATGTCGTTGTTAAAGTGTAAAATTCTGAGGCCTTACGATCCTAACTTGTTTTATTTGAGTTCTTTGTAAAGATTTGTTGTTTCATGTTGAATGTTTTTATGTATGCGTATAAGTTTGCATGTTGGTGTGTCTTGCCAAGAAGGAACAAGAAAAAAAAAGAGAATATTTATTTAGCTTTTTTGTGTCCAAGACATTTGGTCACTGAAATGAAGGTGAGCAGGATTGTGCCGACACAGGTTTACAATGTGTGCATGCTGCGTTGTTTACTTCATAAGTATTATGTTTAATAAGCACAAAGAAGTCACGTTAAAGAAAGTGGATTTTCAAAATAAAGCTACTCTAATGCAGATTGGGACTGTTGAAGTCTTTTTGCATAAATGCCACTTCACGTCTGAAAAGGTTGTGTAAAATGTAAGAATGTTGTCCCATTATTGATGTAGAAGTCTTATTTGTTAATCATTCTGGATCTTTGCTTTATTTAATTTTTGCTTATCGTTTCATGAGAGACAAACTTTTTCAGTTGGTGAGAAGTCTGGACCGCAGGCAGATCAGTACAGCTGCTGGAACCTTCTTAGGTGAAACCAGAATTGGTTAAGCATTGTCTTGCTGAAATACCTAAAAGCTTACCTAAAAGAAATTGAAAAGTAAAAAAAATTTAAAAACACCTTCTGGAAGGAAAAGTATCGTTTCCCAAGACATATTTGGTCACAAATTAATTAGGCATATATGAGGCTAACGATGTGTAGCTCTAAATATGTACTTTTTTGCATCTGTGTTGTGTTTCCAGACATTTCAGCTGCACATGCAACAGGCACTAATGTATTTTTATTCATAAAATTACCTGATGCATGTCAAAATTTTAACACAGACAGTGAAAAAAATAATACAATTTTGAGTTTAAAGTGCACTTACGCAGTGTCACAAAAGAACACCATCACTGTAAACCCAAATTTTTCTTTTACATAATAAGTCAAGCTATTATTATTACTAATCTTTTCATGTTTTTGCAAAACGCGGGACCATTACTTAACAAAATGTGTTTTGTAAACTACTCAAATCAAGTTTTTGCTCTAATGGCTCTGAGCTGAGATTGACATGTTTTTACTGGTTTTGGGAGGGGCTTGTCTGTGACCTGACCGTTGAGCCAGCAGGTGGCAGTAATGCACCTTTAAGTTGTTTACCAACACGAAGGAGAAGAAGAAAACTAGCAGAGCTAAATGCATGTTTCTTCTGACTGTTGGCTGCATGGTTGCTGACTGCAATGTTTCTGTTGAGTTACAATGACTCCTGGCTATTTTTACTTGGTAGTTCAGCTGTGTTAGTTTGTTCAATTTGTTTCTTTTTTTTTCCCAATCGCCTCATTTGATTGGTGCAGAGCCTGTGAGGGATCATGGGTAATTTTCTTTTCCACTCCCTCACAAAAGTTGTATATTATCTTGATATTTTGTAAAAGCAGCACACATGACAGCATAAATTCACTTATTCTGGTTCTGTCATTATCCAAGGCGATCTGTTGTAATTAAGTAATTTTACTGACTAATGGTAAACCTGAAAACCATTAGTGAGGGTGCAGTTGTTGTAGAATAGCAGACAATTCTGGTATCGTCCAGTTTACTTTGTTCTGTTGATGATTCAAGTCTTTGCATTGTAACATGTTAAAGTAATTTTACATGTTAAAAATACTAATTGATGATGATTAATATTTACATTTTAAATTTTCCATTAACAAAACTAGAAGTATTGATAAATGTAAGTAACAATTACTGATATAGTAGAATAAAAAGTTATTTATATTAACAAAATATTATCTGTAGTTTAAACTAATGTTATTATGGTTATTTGCTTAATAGGGCTTTGTAAACTTAGCTTAAAATTGTATTTTCATAAAACTAGAAAGAAATTTCTGTAATCAACATTAATGAAGTATATGTGTTTACTACATTTTATTGAAGTTCTTAAGTTAACACAACTAAACCTGATTAGTTTCATCATTGTGTTAAAACTAGAATGGTTTAAGGCAACGGGTTTCCACACGATTTTCTAATAAAGTAAACTAATTCAGTCCTGCTGCATCTCAGTAATCCCGGTAAAAAATCAAAAAGAAAAAAATTGTATAGGTCCTCTGGACGGGTTCTTCTCTAATGAAATGTTTCGTCTCTCCTCCAAGAGACTTCTTCAGTCTGAGAGTTTCAGGCAAAATTCAGGCTTTTAAGCCCTGCCTCCATGTGACTGATACTCACATCACATGGCTATTGTTGACACCTAATTACAGCGTGGCCATTGCCAGTATCACTCCACCCCCTGTTAACAATAGGTGTTAATTAGGTGTCAACGATAGCCATGTGATGTGAGTATCAGTCACATGGAGGCAGGGCTTAAAAGCCTGAATTTTGCCTGAAACTCTCAGACTGAAGAAGTCTCTTGGAGGAGAGACGAAACATTTCATTAGAGAAGAACCCGTCTAGAGGACCTATACAATTTTTTTCCTTTTTGATTTCTTACCTGGATTACTGAGATGCATCAGGACATTCTAAACAGTAGTATCTGTAC